GCCTCCTGCACACCCCCTACTGGGGATGTGCCCGCAACCAAGGTACATGTCCTTGACCGGAATCGAACCCTGGGCCCTTGAGTCCGCAGGCTGACACTCTATCCACTGAGCCAAACCGGCTAGGGTGCCATTATGCATCTTAATCTTTTATATCATTCATTTTAAGTTGATGGTTAATTCAAAAACTGAGTTTTAATCAAAGTTGTTTTCAAACATTGTCATAATGTCACACTGAAGAGTCATATCAATGGTATCAGCCATTGCTTCTCTCCTCCTCCGCTCTTGCTCTCTCTCCCTTGCTAAATTACGGTCTTTGAGAAGCCCAAGACTACTGTCCTCTTGAGCTTCCAATGACTGCTGATGTTCTTTTTGCTTGTCTCCAAGGCACTTGTTTGGCATCTTATTTGAAAAAGATTCTAGAGTGGAACCAGGGTGCCTTTGATTTTCTTGAAATACTTTGGGTTCCTTTGTATTCTGTTCCAGATGTTTCCGTATTAGTTCCTGTGTTCGAGCTTTTACTTCCTTCTCTATTGCTGCTTTTCTAAACTGGTTGAAGAGCTCATCTGAGGATTTCCATACACCTGAAGTTTTAACTGGTTTGCCTAAACTTTTCCAAGAGTCAGCATTCTTGATTTTTATATCCTTCTGCACAGAAACTTGACATTCAGACTCGACCACCATTGTGTCATCCCCAGACTGATGCATCACAGTTAGGCCATTCAAGTGATTTTCAGAACCACCTGAGAAAGGCAGGATTTGTAAAGGTGAAATGTTTTTCACACTCGGTTTATGTTCTAATTCTTGATGATTAATTGCTAACTGGTGGTGATCTGGTGCGGTTCCACTTGAATGTGTAGTCTGATGAAAAAGGGCAATAGTGCTAGAGGTTGTATCTCGCATAGTAGACTGTATCTTTACTTTCTCTTTAGAAGAAGTTCCATTCTGTTTCACCTCAGTAAATTTAGGTAACATTTCTGATTCGGAATCACTGCTGTCTGAAGTAACTGAATCACCGCTACTACTTTCAGACTCTGACGAACTGCTGCTACTGTCACTCAATCGGGAATCAATGCCAATAACAGCTGTGGATGATGGTGTTTTCTCAGATTTTGTTTGGCATTTTCTGGAATTTAACTGATTATTGACATCTAGTAATCGCTTTTCCAACTCCTGTTTTTTCTGTGCATGAAGTTCTTCATTTGACTTCATTATTTTCTTACCTGTGTGATTTAGGACAAAAGTAAAAGAGTGAGCAAACTTAAAAGTAGTGAACATCAGAATGATATCTACTCATATATAGAAACTAGAGGCCTGGTGCACGAAAATTCATGCACTGGGAGGGGTCCCTCAGCCCGGCCTGCACGCTCTCACAGTCAGGGAGCCCTCAGGGGATCTCCCACTCCCCACGGCCGATCAGGGAAAGGCACCGCCCCCATCACCCCTCGCTGCTGCTGCCTCTGGCCTCCCTCTGCAGGAGGTGACCTGGCGATCAGGGGAAGGTGATGCCCCCATCATGCCTCTGCTGCTGCCACTGCCAGCCGTGTGGCTGTCTGAGCCTTGGCCCTTGCAGCCACCGCGGTTTTCCTGAGCCTCGGCCCAGCCCTGAGTCTCGGGCCCTGGGCAGCAGCAGCCACCATCCATAGCTTGCCTGAGCCTCAGGCTGGCCCTGGGCAGTGGCAGCCGCCATCTGCAGCTTGCCTGAGCCTCAGGCAGCTTTGTCTGGAAGGACACAGCGTCAAGTCCCCACCCACCCACGTGCGCCTCGCCAGGCACGTAGCTGTGCCTGTGGCACACACAGCCTCCTGCTGATAGGTCATTACGGCATGATGGTGTGATGAGCATTAGCATATTAGGTCTTTATTATATAGGATACCTACCATGAGGTTTTAGTGGTCTTTTTCTTAGACATGCAGCAACATATTTTTCTAGCTCTCTTAGTGTTGTTGTTTTCAGTGTTTCAAAGTCTATCTCTATATCCTCATGGTTAGAATTTCTCAGTGAAGGTTCTCTTGAATGTATTATATGAAGGACTTTTCCAAGTTTATCTCCAGGGAGTTTGTTTATATCCAAACTTAACCGCCTTTTCTCATCATGGCTCATAGGTTCAGCATTATCTTCATCCTCAGACTTCAGAGCCAACACTGATTGTTCCCTCTTCTTTGGATCATTGCTCTTAGATTTCTCCTTTAATTTCATTTGCTTAAACTTCTTTCTTGGATTTTCATCCGTGTTATCAACCTTTCCTTTTTTCTTTTCCCGTTTAGATTTGTCATTTTTTCCCTTTAGCGTATGGAAAGGTACTTGGGATAGAACCTCCAGTTGCTGATGAATAGCTTTAAACTGCTTCTGAAGCTCTGCAATAGAGTGAACTTGGTCATCTTCAGAATCACCAGAAGAGTTATCTTCAGAGGAAGTTTCAGTACTGCTTTCTCTACCAAGGGACTTTGTGGTATCTGTTTTGATATTATATACAGGCTTACTTTCAACAGGTTCATCTGGGATCTTTGCAAAATGCATTTCAAACACATCCTGGAGCATTCTTGCCATTGTCACTACTTCATGATCTGGAGGATTGTATCTGTAGCAATTCATGAACATTAATCTAACATCTGCAGCAAATTCATATGCATCCTTATATTCTTGGCTGTCCATTTTTCTCTTGATAGTTCCAAGATCCATTGGATTTTCCACAATGTCATAGTAGCTATGGAGTCCGAATGCATTAACATCAACAGGATTATAAAAGGGCCATGCATATGAAAAGTGCTTCTTTGCAAACAGTTCTTTCAGAATCTCACTACAGTGCCTTAATGGTTCACTTACTTTAACTTTATATTGTTGCTGAGAATTCGGCAAAACATTCTTCTGCCCACTTTCTTTTACGGGTGGCATTTTTGCTGGTTTTTTTTCTGTTAGTGCTGGGGAAGGTTCACCACTTGCTTTAACTACTGAAGTTGTAGGAGTTGTTGTATCTGCTTTCCTCTTTACATCCTTTGTAACCTGGGCCACTGTTTGTGAGGTAGAGTTGGGTGGAGCACCTTGTGCCATATTTAAAGGAGAAGTAGATGATTCAGGAAATACAGAGGGACTCACTTGCGGCTTAAATACTTTTTCTGATTCTTTAGGAGACTGTTTTTCTTTAACAGAAGAAACTGCTACATTCTGTTGAGTGCCTGGTAAAGTGTGGACGAATATTTGAGTAAAATACAAAGCTAAGATATTTTTCTTAGTATTTTACATTAATCCATTTAATTCAACTTTTTAGCAATATAAACATGGCACATTCCCACTCCTCCTTTAAACCCTCCCACACACAGCTGTTGAATAGTGTTAGGCCAATTTATATTTAGCAAAGACTTCAAAACCTGTTGTTAATGGTAGGCTTATCAATTTTACTCAAAAAGATGTGTAACATAAACTCAGACTAACAGACAGGTGGTAGTAAACATAAGCAAAACTTTCAGACACCTTGGACACACACACACACACTCATATATATGAAAGAGAAAGAGAACATAAACTTCTGGCTTACCTTTCTTTATTCTTTCCTTACCACCCACAACTTGCTCTTCTTTTGGCATCTGTAATAATTTCTGTTTAAATAAATTCTCTAGAGCTTGTCCCATAAGAACAATGTCATCTCCAGGCTTGTTGTATAAATAACAATTCGAGAACATTGTTCTGAAGTCTTCTATGCATTCTGAAGCCTCCACATAATACTTATTTTCCAAGCGCTTCTTAATTGTACTTAAATCCATTGGGTTTTTGATAATGGTGTAATAATCGGGCAACTCTAGTGTCACGGCATCCACAGGCTGCTGAAAAGGCCAGGAAAAACTATGCTTCCATAAAGCCTTCAAGACAACTTTTTGTAGATACTGCAGCTGATTTGTCAATCTCCCATTTTTCTTAGTATTTATATATTCTGGTGGTGGAGGGTTAATAATAGCTATTTGTCTTCTTGGCAGAGACATTCTTAGTTGCTTCAAATTCTGATATTCTAATGTCTACAAATAAATGTCCTTTTTCTATATAAGTACTAGAAGTTGTTTCGTTATGTATGCCTTAGTTTTGGATGATTTAGGTTATTTCAATCTTTCACAGTATTTCTGTTTTTCTAAGACACAAATTGACGTCTTGGCAGGAAAAGTCTGTAAGTTTGTCTTGCAAGAAGAATCTTGTCTGATCGTCCCCTGGAGCTTGCACAGGATAAAATGGTGCAGGCAGTGGTTCTCCACCAACCTTCGCTACCAGCTCTCAACTCGATGGCAGCTGTTCTTGCGCCAGTTGTTGGGGTCCAACCCCAGCAGGTCCAGGGGTTCCCAAAGGTGTGGATGGAGTCGGCGAAGAAGAAATGACACGGAGACAGCGTTCAGTTGATCAGCAGCCTAGCCAGGTTCTCTAGTCAAGTTCTCAAGCCAGGTTCTCAGTGCACGAATTTCATGCACTGGGCCTCTAGTCTTTTTATACACTGCTAGCCTAAAATTGTATTTCAGATTGGGCCTGTTGTGACATATTGAAAGCAAATGTAAAGAATTTTCTCTCCCATTACTTGTTTATAAACCTCATAGTTGTTTTAGAAAAAAAATGAACTCCATTACGCCAGACTTGTTTCCCTTTTTGATAAAAAAATTTTCTCTACAAAGATGACCTCTTACAGCTTGTCTTCCCTTCCTTAGTCCTGTTAATCCCTAACTCCAGGGAAAAATCCCCACCTGGGGAAACAACCTTTCTCAGGGAGGTGGTCCTGTTTAAAACACATAGCGCTGATTGCTGATGGGGAGACCAAGATGGCGGCATGGGTGGACACCGCAGACTGCTGCCGCAAACGGCCACTTCAGGAATACAGCTGAAAGGCGGAACGGACATCACCCAGAACCGCAGGAAGGCTGGCTGAGGAGAGACTCTTCAACTAGAAGGAAAGATAACAGCACACCGAGGCTCAGAGGAGGCGCAGTGTGGAAAATACTCAGGTGCGGAGGTGCGCGCGCAAAGCGGGCTGGTGGCTGAGAGCGCGGTTGTCGTTTTCGGTCAGGGGGGAGTCTCAGACTCTGAGCTCCAGATACGGGCGAATCGCTGGGGACTCGGACCCAAACGGGAGAAGCGGGAGTGTCTGGCATCAGTTGGAAGGCAGCTTTCCCTCCGAGGTTTGCAGCGGTTCCGGGGGTTCTGAGAAGCAGAGCCTCTGGGAACAGGACTGAGGGCACCATAACGGCTCCCTCCGCCCGCCCTGTTGAGCCCGCCCCGCCCAAGCCCTGCGCAGAGCCATTTGC